AAAAAAAAAAAAAAAAAAAAAGAGAAAAAAAAAGGTAAAGTCGAGTTTTGTTCGAAGCCATTGATAAGTTGAAGCAATATGGAGTACCGGTCATTAATTTTCACATTTGCATCCTGTAATGCGTCATACTGGAAACGCATCAACTGCAAATGTAAAATCGGAGGAAATGAAATGAATTTGACGCCTTTAACCGCTGGCTGCAAACCGAATTCCCCAGCATCGTATTTATTATCACCATCAAGTATTTCTGCAGCCGTATAATCAGAGAAGGATTCTAGAACTGAAAACCACTTACATGAACAACTGAATTTTGCTTTTGCTTGTTAATTTCTTTACATAATTTTAATATCTACATAGACTAGCAAAAGCTGGATTGACAAAAGACACAGATCATATTAAGAATCATACCATTTGCTTTGCCTTTGATGTTAAGCTGAAGATCATAGAATGATTCAACCCGATTTGATTCAAAACATACATTTTTACAGCGCACGTATGACTTCATTTTTCCTTCAAACAAAGAAGGGATGGTATTTTTTACCTAAAATATAGACTTTTTATAATATAGAGTTCATATTACTACCTAAATATTGTAAAAAAGAATGCTTAAAAACGATAAATTACTAAAATAAATTCCTAAATCAGTCAAACGTGTTTCGAAAACAATTTAAATATTATTTGCATCAAAATCAAAAGATTTCATTAAGGAAAGCAATAGTTTTACGTGTTCAGAATCAAACGTTACTGCAACCATATTACTACCTAAGTACTGCACAAAAGAATGCTTAAAAAAGATAAATTATAATTACTAACAGAATACTGGATTGTACTAAACATCAAAGGATTGAAAAAACACCTTCGTTCCAGACATTTTATTTTCTAAATTATCCAGCAGTACACGACACAACTCCTGTACATCATGCTGATGAAATGACTCGACACTATCCCATCCGAATGATTTTGTCAACTTTTTCGTGCCAACAGGTTTGTCCGAATTTTGTAGTTCATAAAAAACACGTTGCATAGCTAATGCAACCGAGGTCTCTGGATCATCATTTTCAGTTGGCATTTGATACACGGCCTGAAAATAGTGAGAATAAAAAGTTCTATAAGAGTTGTCTTTCTATGTAGTGAGATAATAAATCCTAAAATCTGTAGCCAACCTTCCTCAGTTGATTGGTGAAGAAGAAAGTCTGCAATATCGAATTCATGTAACACGTTGCACCCTGATTTTTAAGACCAATAAAGCCAGCATGTTTCTTGCTATCCCATCTACATGAAAAATCTTTTAATGAAAAAAAAAAAAGAAAGAATGGAATTCCAATGGCTTTTCGATGAAAAAGTTTGATTTCCATAGTTTGCTTATATGTTTGATTACAAACATGTAATCAAACTATGTATAAAACTTTACATAATAGTAGAAAGTACACAAAGGTGATCAAAAAAGTGGAAACAAACTGCACGCCATGAGGAGCATCCGCCATAACTAATACTTCCAATTTGATAGTATCGTCTTTAATGTAACCGCTTTCAGGGTTCAGAAGTGTCTGTAAATAACCGTTTCTTGCTAAACTTCTAATGACCATACTCATAATTCTGCAGAAAGACTAACACAATAAGATTAAAACGAAAATGTTAATATCTAAATCCTGTAGTTGAGATAGCAAAGCTGCAAAATAAGCATACACTTTGTAAATAACAAGAAACAATTTACTTCACACGGAAGGAACTGTGAATAACCCCAGTCATTCTCCTTTTGATAGAAAGTATGATTGATTCTTCGCACATGGTTTTCAACTCCGGGTTTCTGTGACAAGACAGTGAGGATAGCACTTGCAGTACATGACCAAGAAATCGCTTCTGCTTCTCCATTACATTGCAGGAAGAAGCCAAAAGCACGGCCAGCTGAGCGGCGCTCACTTTGAAACTGCAACTTGACATTTAAAATCCAACATAAGAGAAAATCCTACCCGTTTTTTTTTCTTCAAAACGTTTATGAAACGAAAAGCAACCATATTCAAACCTAAAAGAAAAAAAAAAAACGAACTCTATTCTGCTCCCGTGGCATTGCTAAAATCCTCCATGGTAAACCTCTAACAAATATCGGTTCACTCAATTTCTGATGCGTTTCAGATGAGCCACGAGCAAAGTCACTGAAGTGGTCAATATCCATGCGTAAAATTCCTTCCGGTTTATATGGATCTGCAATTAAGAATGGAAATCATAACATTCAATTTCATATGAATAATAAAATGAGCAGTTTACAAACAGTAAAGAGCCACTCCGAACTTCAGTACTATTTAAGCAAAAAGATGGACAATAATAGTTTCATGTTAAACCGAAATACGAAACTAGATTTTAAAGGATTGAACAAAATTCATACCATCCTCTTCACAATCTCCGGATAATGGAGAGCTGCGTCCTGAAAATAATAAAGGTTACACCATAAATCAACGGACAAAAAAGTAGAGCTGTCGTCATAGCCAACAACACACGCATAATTTTAGGTACTGAAAAATAAAAAAATAATCACTGGAACATAATTAGTCTGCTTATGTCCATTCGAAGTAAAGTGGACTACTCATCCTTATGTTCTGAAAGATGATATTGCTTTTTTACAAAAAAAATTCGTTTTCTATTTCACGTCAATAAATGCCCTTCACCAAGATTTCCACATAGAGAATGCGAAAATTGTACTCATACTCACCTTCATTAACATAGGCTGTATCCATAGCATCTTCCTGATTGTTGTGCTGTGCTGATGCTTTAAGAAAATTTACTCTCCCACGAGCATTTTCTTTATTTTCATGCTACAAATATGCTAGCGGATGAATAACCTTGGATTATCACCAAAATACGTAAAAAAGATGTGAAACCTACAATGCATAAATTCTGTCCAGATTTCAATCACCGTATATCCACATTAATAATACATGTGAGAAAAATGTTTATGAACAAAGTGGAAAAGGAAGTGTTGTTTCCAACAAAAGTACAGAGAGTAAGAACTCACTTCTTCAGCGAATGGGACGCCATTGTCGACATCGTCATCTGTATCACTGTTTTTCATTTCCCGTCCACGCTGTCCGCTCCCAAGATCGTTTGTCATCTGAAAAAAGAAAGAACAAATATTTCTTTTGAAATAAAGTGATCCAGCTCGCCTAACTTCTCAGCGCTTCGTACACTAGTTGCAAAAAAATAAAAACTTTTGTAAAAATCTGCAGTGATAAAATGGAAGAAATCCGTATTCCAACTTTAAGGAAATCTCATTAAATTCAAGATACAAAAAAATTTTCCTGTATTTAACTACACTCCTGATTCACTTTCAAATACTTCGGATGCTATGGTATTATAGTGCCGTTTATAATGAGCTCGCTTGATAAATACACAGATCCAGAAAACGCGCTTACCACCGACTATCACACCCAACAGAACCGTCTCGAATGCAACGCAGACGCTCACTCGCCTTCCCCGACAACCTCCAGCCCTACAATAACACGCACCAATACTTCACGACCGCTTCTTAAGCTGCAACAGTCACATAGTGAGAAATACTGTAACGGCGAGTTTCGTTTCAAAACCCGAACAGAACGGAACAGCTTGTGTGTGGGCATCAGTGGGAACTGAAATTTGTTTGCCGGTTACGTTATGACAGAGACGGGGGGAAAAGAGAAATGTTGGGGAAGTCAGGACAAGTTCAGCAAAGTTTTTAGTAATACTTTCAAGTACGTAGCCATTTCTTCTCCCGTTGTATTCCCATCGCAAAAAATACACACCGATGCTCATCAGCTACACAAATGTCCTTTTCCTAAAGACTCGATAGACTCTACATCTATTCTCCGTTTTAGTAGACGCAATTCTTAGGAATCATCTGGAATATTCTGATCGACCGAAGCCACACTTCGAGAACCACCTCCGCTTATCCTCCATTTCACACATACATCCATGGCAGTAAACCGACCCGTCAAAATGCGGCCTTTTTTACGTCCGTTTGACAGCAAATTATCGCTGATGAGTTATCCCCACAGTGTGGATGCAACAAACAACACCGCCATATTCCAACCTTATACTGTTAATAAAGGTGAAAATTACCTCCATAACCTTTAATGACATACTTTCTATCTTCATATCATCTGGCATGTCAAAAACCAAAAGCACACAAAAAACACAGTGATAACCACTTTCCTAAACGCTGTTTAAGTACTATTTCACGAACCTTACTTCCTCACATAATTCATCTAGACCTGTATATCTTGCCATTTATGAAGCACAGCATTAATGATAATAACGGCAGCATAAGTAATTCCGAAGAACGCAACAAAATCCAGTGAACAGGTACAAAATCACAATGACATGGCAGTATATGCACAATTCGAAATGACTACTCTATTGTATAAAGGAACACTGATGAACATTATGTGCAACGCAGAAAATACCTATTCATTTAGGTAGAGAAATGAAATATACGACTGTTTAATCCATGTAGAAGTAAAATGTTAAGCAACAGTGAGTAAATGCATAAGAAATGTGGGAAGTCTCTCCATGACAATGTTGTAACAGTCTAATGAAATATTTCTTAAATTCGAAGATAAGTACCAATTATGAAAACAAGAATACTCAACATTACGCCTGTTTTGAATCGAGTGAACTAACCAATGAAGTGCTGGATGCACTTTTAAACTAATTCATAAACATGATAAACCTAAAACAAAGAACCGTGCCTAATATTGGCATCTGCAGATGTCATTGAGATCAGATGAGTATTTTGTGCTCAAAACTTGGATTCTGAAGGCTATATGCTCACATTCGAATACAAATTTTTCAAATCAAACCTACATTAATCAATGGCAAAAGACAAGAAATAATTTGCCAATTAAAAAATTTGCAATATGCAAATGAAAACCGAATGCTATGATGCACAGATACCCCGACGTAGCAGATGACCGAACAAACCAGTATGCAATTAATATATAACTTAAGCTAGCAAGAAACATATATTATGGCTAAACATTTGATTCCGGAGTTATTTTTAAGGCAAATTTTGATGTCAACGATTGCTGTTCGGTTAGATTAAAAAAAGGAAATGAATGAAGTGAACAAAGCAACTGTACTCCAGCATCATCATCACGTTCGTGACAACGCAATACAAACACTGTGCCATGCCTAATACCGGCGGATGCTTGCACATTGCATACAATTGACCATTTTGTTTCGCTCACATGTTCCTTAAAAACAATAGTCACTATACATTAACCGGATCAATATAAATCATCTATTCACTGATGTATGCATAATCAAAAGTGCGTCCAGTAGAAAACAGTTGATGTATGTATGTACAAAACGTTTAGCAACAGTTATAAACCAAAATTAAAGATTCATTTTCTACATAAAATTTTTAGTTTCGGTGGCAGGAAAAACTAAAAATAATAAGGTCGAAACCAAGAAACAAACTAACTGGAAAAGGAAATCTGGAAGAGAAGAATCTCTGCAAAAAAGTAGCAGCAGTAAAACGAAGTGAGAGACAACGAGCAAGATGAGCAACAACTTGATCAGCTGTATGACGAGGCTGTTGTCGAGTAAGTTTCAAATACTTATTCAGTGGCCTTGCAATTGCAGAGAACACTGCTTGAGCTGCCCCAAGTGCTTCCATAGGCTCTCCAAAAATCTGTACAAAACCGTGATTATGTGGCTTTGTAAATTGGATAACTCTAACAATTTCAATACAGCGAAACTTAAAGAAAAATCTCATTCAAAAAATACACCTTATTTTGATTGTTGGCCGTCACGCTTTGAACACTTGCAAACGCCTCTTCAGTAGTACTAATCAAGCGATATTTTCGTTTTTGAACTCGTCGTTCCCACTCTATTATTTCATGGTAACGTTCATTGTGCCCACCAACTCGCCTTTTCGCAGCAGCCTCCATAATTGCGCGAGCGTTAACCTCTGTTATAGTGCATTCGTTACCCAAACCTTCGATATCATACATCTTGAAACCTCCAGCTGGTTGTGACACACCTAAACTATTTACTTATAGATTAAACGAAGGATCTCCTGACATTCACACTTTTTCTATCACTGGAATGCAGCTGTTTCAAATAGGATGCAATAATAAGTAATCGTAATAACCATGAGTACACTGTGTAAAAATTTTTAGAAAGAGAATCACTGCCCTTACAATAGAATTTAAGATCAGATTAGCACGCTGTACAGAAATTAAATTCCAAGTAGTGCCCATTCTATTTATTACACCACATTCCACTGGTATTTATAATATTAATAAAGTACAGGAATCCAACTGAATGCCATAAGACGAAGCTCCAACCATATAATCGAGAAAAATGATTAAATAATAGAAAAGAAAACAAAAACAAGATGCTAAATATCAAAAAAAAAAAAAAAAAAAAAGATCTTCTATACTAGAGATTATCTTAACGGCAGTTACAGCAAAGCATAACATGAAAATAACTTGCCAGACCGAAAATGCATTGAACCTCCGTTGAACGATTTATCCATATAGGGATTGTAAGACGGGAAAGTAGAATAATACATCCTGAGAACATGGACAGCAGCTTCTTGGATACTCATTAGACCAAGGCTAAAAGTTCGACTTTCTCCATCTGGATCTCTTACAACACTGACAATGAACTCCGGCCTCAATGCTCGCAGTTCCAAAACAATGACCGTAATGTAGTGTAAATAAAGCATTGCATCGAGCAATGAAAGAGCAAAACCGATAATCACATTACAACTGCTTTCTTTCTCGAATAATATACGGACAGAATAGAACAACCAGAAGGCAAAAAGAATAAATAAAGCTAAGAATGCCAATGCAGCACGATGAAAAAAAAGACGTGGCATATCCGCTGAAGCATGACGAAAATACATGGCCCAAAGTGCGCCTAATAATAGCATTGTTTTTACTGCCAAATTCAACATCAGACCTTGGCAGTCAGCACCACACAATACCTGCAGATTTCGAAATCACAGCAAAGCATCTCAAACTGCATCATATGCCAATGATAGCGCTATTTTAACCTGGTTTACTCTGGTATCAATGGCTGCAGTTCTAAAACGATGGCCTAATGTAGTGTAAATAAAACACTGCATCGAGTAATGCATTTTCGAACCAGATATTTCCCTACTTTACCAGACCTTTTGACATGAAAGAAAGATTACAGAAAAAAAAACCTCAGGCCAGCCGAATCCAATTTGATACAAAATAATTGGTAAAGCAACCATAAGAGAAGGAGAAATAACAGCTATAAATGAAATAATCGAAGCACTGAAAAGCCAAAATATCCGAGAACATCTCCTGGCAACAACACGTCCAACAGGAGCCACAAGTGCTCTTTCAGCAAGACCGTTATATGAGTGTTCACTCGTAGTGCCAGTTATGACCGTGGTATTTTCTGCCCAGTTATCATCATCGGCCGTCAGTTTCATGCCCTATATAATCACATAAAAATAAGGGAAAAAAAAAAGCAAAATTTGAAGGCTGAATATTGAAAAACGCTTGAAAAATGGAGGCAGCATTTCAAAAAAAAATACCTCACTTGCAGCAGCCGAAAAATTGGGAATGAAGGAGGTACCAACATCCAGTGAACCAGCACATGCACGCGATAAATTTCGAATCATTCGTAAGTTACGATGTGACGAAGAACGTCGCCCCGAGCTCTCTGACACTAAGGACATGAACGGTTCGCAACCTACAGATGGAATCCACACATCTTTAACAATCTGTGATCGAGGAAAAACAATTATTTATTACTCCGAGAATAGAAAACACAAGTAAGTTAAAACCCAAATAATTCTGAAAACAACACTCACTTTATCGATACATCACGATGAATAAGATAATTGGTGCATTCGTTACTCCTGAAAGAACGAAAAAGTAACAAGTTCAAAAAACCTTCAGAAACCTTAAGAAAAAAGACGCAACGACAATATAAAGTACTAGAACAACTCAACTTATCATATTTCTCTTGGTTCATTGTTCTGATTGTTCCGACGGGAAAAAGAGAATGTCGCGTTAAACATTTCGAAATTTTATATTAATAAACTTATTATAAACGTCTTCAAACGCAAATCAAATGCGAGAATCAGCTTTTAAAATGAAAACAATCAAATCTCTTATCCCAGTTCATCCAAACTATGTTTTGAGCTACCTTGAGTTCATTGTGGCACGAATTATACAAAAAATACTAAGAAGAGTATACAACCTGACTTCCTGAAGAACCAAAACTTACCCACTCACCTACCCTCGTGTACAGCGATGAGTACCACAACTAACATCGTGGTCATCATCTACGAGAGTTAAGCACAGACTACGAACTCTTGAAGGTTTTGTGATACTGTGACTGGGCCGTTAAGAAAAATACTGTCTCACACCAACAATATTTGAGAAAACCCACTTTGCTCGGTTCACTGGAACATGAAGCTTAATTGCGAAGTGAGACATACAGCAACACATTTGTATATGCTGAATGCGAACCGCGACATCCTGACGTGTGTGACATGACTGGGTTCGGGTATCGTAGTTTAAAAGGGATGACAAGTGATGCGCAGAGTGGCATGTGACAAAACAGCATGCATCACTAATCGATCCGTACGTAATGGATACGGGAAGGAACTGAAGGCTTGCAGTTGTGTAGAGTGTCTGCATCAAATGATCTTATCAGTTTTGGTTGTGCTGTTTAAATCAGTAAAATAAACACTGCGGTAAATATAGACTTATTGGTAATGACATGACAGTGTTTCCTGTTTGTTGGAAATGATGTTCTAAATCTAGCTGATGAAGCAGTGTGTACTGGTTTGGTTATCATTCACTCAGTAACTCCTTCCATCTGCGATGTTGAGTGCCTTAGGGAAGGTACAGGATATGAATGTTACGGCGAATCTACATAAAGACAAACAAAGTATTTATTACTGAGGACTGTTATATAAGTCGCTGCTTTCAAAAATCAGTCCATATGGGAGGAAGCAGGAATACGGGTGTACTATTCTGGAACCTTCCATACCTCAGTACCGACTTACCGACTTATTTCTTTCTCCTCTTTTTCATGCAAGAAATACAACATCTCTCGCAATACTTTTGGACTGGACTGTGAGCGTACTGATATGTTTCTTGATTATTATTCAGTTTTTAGTTTTTTGCTAATTCTAGTATTTGATGTGCAGTTTACTGAATTCAAAGATTAGATTTGCTAGTATGATCGAAAGGTTAGTTTGCTGCAACCAGCTATTGTGTGGTTCGTTGTTGTGTTCTGGAACCCCTTTCATGATAATACATATTCGAACTTCATCGTAAAATAGATTTCGAACCTTTAGTACCTCTGGACTATGTATCTGTCGTGGTCGTCAACATTTTTTTCAACATTCACTATACACCATCCTTCGTGAGAAATACTTTCATCGGTACGGAACTGATTGCTACCACTGACTCGGCGCGAATTCTGCGAATACTGCCTATAGCTTAACACGAACGACTTGATGGATGCACGACAAGCTGCGCAGTTTGGTAATGTATCAAGACTGCAGGAGTTATTAGCTTCTGGAGAATGTACACCGGATACGCTGGATGCTGATGACTGTTCTTTGCTACATTGGGCCGCAATTAATAATCGGTAAATTTCTTTTTGTATGTGTGTTTCTGAGTTCTACCAACACTCTTATTCGAATATTGCATAATCGGAGTATTGTAGTAAATTTTAGTTAAAATTTCTAATGCGTTCAAAAGATATTTCGTATAGCAAATTTTATTTTGCGATTTTTTAGTTTATCGATAACTCGAATATTAATCGATCGTGGTTGCAATGTCAACGCAATAGGTGGCGTGCTTGCTTCAACACCACTCCACTGGGCAGCACGACACGGCCACACTCATATGGTTGCTCTGTTGGTTGCTCATGGAGCTGATCTCCATCTAAATGATGTTGAAGGTATTTTTAAATTGCTCGTTTCTTGGAATCATCCACTAGTATTTTTATTTGTATTTGTCACTGTTAGTTACACTTAATTGGGCGCTGTTTAAAATAGGATACAGAAAATTGAATTTTGTAGTCACGTGAACCTTTATTAGTGCTCTTTGCAACTGTTGTATAGTCAGATAGGTGATATATAATTCAAGAGGAACTTAAGTGCAAGTTTCATGGTACTGTATTGTCAGAAGTACAAATAGTAATGCGGAAACTGTTTTACTGGTACCTCAAATTAAGGCACTTCAACTTGACGTTGCAGGTTTTACTCCTCTTCATGTTGCTGTACAGTTTGGAAGAACATCAACAGCTGCATATTTGATCGCTGCAGGACAATCTCCCGATGAAAGAGATGAAACAATGATGACACCAGCAATGTGGGCAGCGTATAAGGTTTAAAATAATTTTAAAAAAATATTCTAATCTGATGAGGCGTGGTTTCATAAACTGCCTTTGTATATTACATTATTCTTAATTTATCTCATTTAGATGACTTGATGTATTGCGTTTTCAGGTTTTCAGTCGCGATCCTCTACAGATGTTAATAACGATGGGTGCTGATTTGTCTTGTACCGATACAACTTATGCAAATACAGCTTTGCACTGGGCTGTTATACAGGGCAACCATTCAGCAATTAATGTTTTGATAAAATATAATGCAGAATTAGTGCTTCGCAATCGTGATAATGAAACTCCCCGTGACATTGCAATACGACGAGGAGATGTCATTAGCGCACGGATTTTGGAAAAGGCTGAACGCAGAAAACGACTGATCTCTTCAACTTTTATTCAATATGTGAAGGAAAATGATGTTTGTTCATGAAATTCAACTGTTTATTTTATTTTTTGAACCTTTCCAATTTGTTTAGTATTTAAACCGCTTTTTTCGATTTGGCTATCTTTTATAGATATTAATATCACGAATAATGTTTTTTCTACCGGTGTGTATTATGGTAGCTGTGGGTTTAATCTTGCACGTTATTTTGTCTTATATGGTCAAAGCTTTATTGCTATTATTAGTTGGTGTTTTTGGACGAATTGTTTACAGGTACTTGTTCGTACTATTTTTGATCTCAGTTCACAAAAGTTTTCCGTAACAATCGTTTCAAGAAGCTTGATTTCAGGTCACTTGCAACAGATCGAAGTTTCTACATCATACCTTTAGGCGCAGCAGTTGCGTCAAAGATTGTTTTGGCAGTAACTTGGCTACTCTATCTGCATGCCTTTGCCGGGTGGTATTGGCAAATTAGTTTCTTCATACTTGTAACACTTGCACCAGTATTGTTTTTATGGATCATTTTTTCCGACCCTGGTATCATCACCGTATCTCATAAAGTGACTGCTTTGGCGCATATTTTCTCCCATAATTTTTCAGAAATTGTTTTGGGCAGTCTTTAGATTTCTTTATTTTTACTGTTTCAGCATAAATACTATTTTTTTGAAAATTTGAGTTTTTTTTTTTTCACTTTTTATACTCGCTAGAGTAGATTAATTTTTTTATTTTATTACATGGATTTTATTAAGTGGAATATCTCAAAATAGTATTTGAAACTCAGTTATTACATCTTCATTTTGAATTTTTATCTTGTGTCATTTTAAAATTGCTGTTGATTTTAATCTTCGACACTCGGAGGTCTATTTATATTGTACTTCTAGGAACGGTGCGAAATGATACGCGATATGTGGGAAAAAGAAAGCCGACAAGCAGTCTCATTTTGTAGTACATGCTTATTAAAAAGGCCAGCAAGGTCAAAACATTGTTCAGTGTGTGATCGCTGCGTCAAAAGGTTATTTTTGTTTAATTACGGTCCGTACGGAGATCAGGTAAAGTTCTGCTTCAATGAAACAAGATTGTTCGTCTCCTTTTCTTTTCCATTTTATCCTGAATACTGTTCATAAACCCTGTCTTTTGGAGAGTTGCTGATTTCTTCACATGAAATTTAAATATTTAAATTGTTCTCAATTTCTTAGCACTTAGTCTTTTTCAGCTTGCTAGATTCAGATGCGTGTTCTCTGGTATAACGTTGTGATTTCGTTTCCGATTTTCAACTTTTTGCTTGTGAATTAAGTTTTGAACACAAAATGCGGAGAATCTGCTGTTATTACAGCTGTTGATTTTAGAGACTTCACTTCCACTTCATTTTGAACCGTTGCAAAAGACCAGATTATCCTTGAAATTTTTTGTAAAAAACCGAAATGGAATCGCTCACGACGTCAGCATTTCCCATTGGAATACAGTAGCGACCTTTACCTCGTTCATGTTGTCATATTAAACTTCACTGTTGTCAAGAAATTGCAGATTTGATCATCACTGTCCTTGGGTCCTGAATTGCATTGGAGAAAAAAATCATTTGCACTTTGTTTTTTATCTCGGTATTGTGATTGCTTCTTCACTACAGTTTCTCGTCGCAACTTTTCATTGTAAGCTGTCTTCCTACTTCAACATGCTTAGCAAACTTTTCATATCCCGGATTAAAGCTACTTGCACTATACGAACCTTAACAATTCATGGACTGGACGAAAGGGACTTCAACTTTTCCCAGTACCGAAACAATATGAACAAACGGTAGCGATGTACGATACTGAATGACGTCTTTCTGGCAATTCCAAAGAATGCATTGTCACTACCCCTACTAATTTCTTAGCCATAAGACAGTAGAACATTGTATGCTAAACATTTTATCGATTAAGTAATCGAGAAGCAAGACATGGAACTCTGATGTAGTAACTGAACAACTAGAGTGCAGCATGCGTAGAAATTTGCAATGAAATGCCTTCTACATATTTCAATTGTTAAACATTATTTTTACAAATCACAAGTGTTTCGAAAAGAAAATCTCAAACGAGCTCCCTGTAAAAATTCCAATGCATTCAATTTTTATATGATACAAGTCAAGATAAACATGACTGTTTCAAGGGTTTGTAATTAATTACATGATTTTAAGATTGGCGCGATTCATGTGGTGAAATCTCTCAAGCAAATATTACATACTGTAATCCCTGGGTGACCTATGTCTTTGTTATAGCTCTCTATCATTTTATATGGACAAGTGCGATGCTTACATTTCAAATATATCAGGTGAGAGCAAACTTATTAAGCATATGAAGAATTGTATGTTTCACTTCATCTTGTTAGATTTCGGAATTATTTATGAATACCTGCAACTGCTTTAAATGTAACAAATCTTCCACGAACCGCAAGCAGTGTTTTGTGCTCCACACATAGTTTGATGAAAGGCATAATTGAGGTCAGCATTATTTTTTTCCTTTGAAGGGAAAAATGCGGACAAATATGAACGTAAACACCCTGTTCAAAGCTTATAAAAAGTTCACAATTTGCAGATACTCTGTGAAATGACAACAAACGAAAGACTTAACGCTTACAGATATGAACATTTTCACTCAACCGGTGATCACTTAAGAATAAAAAGCCCGTTTTCGTGAGTGATTTAGTATGAATTTGGTTCAAAAAGAAACATCACAAAACTTCGTACAATTAAGAATCTATTAATTCCGAAAAAGGAGTAAAGAAAAAAAAAAGTAAAGCATGGAATGTGAACCAGCAGTATGGCAGCAATTTTATAACTCCTGTTGTTTTAGGAAAGGAATGCTACAGAATTTATATAACTTCTGTTGCGGAGGTGCCATTGCTTCTTGCGAAGAAGAGAATCAGTTAGATTAGTTATAGTTGTCAACATTTCGATTGCACTTTTGTATATAACAGTGGCAGTTTTGTTGTTAATATTAATGACTACATTTACAAGAACAAAATCAAAAAACAAGATACTCAACGAAGACAAACTAGCATAATATGTGCATGTTGGCTGTTAATTTTTGTCTTCCTATTTCCTTTGCTGCAAATTGTTCGATAACCTGCAAGAACTCTTAAAGCAATATATTATTTGCTATTATGTTTTAAAATGTTTGCATTAATTGCTTAGTTTATGTTTATCAGTCTCTGTTCGAAATAAAAATGTTGCATACCATTCCATTGCCTCATCCAGTCCTTCGCCTTTTGTCGCTGACGTTTTGAAAATCTGAAAGGTTCTCGTTCGAAGAGCATCCAATCCTAAGCTACGATGCACATCAGCCAAAGAAAGGGAATTAGGAATATCCTGCTTATTTGCTAAAACCATTAGGACAGCACTTTTCAATTCTTCTTCCTGCAACACAACCAGAAATTTTGTACTTTCAGTTCTGCGCTTACAGTGGAAGTACTTGAAAACTTATAAATATACCAGGCTTCAATAAGATCTATAAATTAGAACGGAAGTCAGAATCAACATGGTGAAAGCCATTTACGGTTTATGGCTCACGCATTTTAAATTTAATTTCAGATAAGATCTGTTCGGCGTTAACAGCTGTGTTGGGGCTCACTCGGTTTTCTCAACCAAAGGGTTATAGGAAACTTGAACTACCCGTGGTGTACTTCGTGCGATGCCAAGGTTAAACATCTCAGACCTCTAACATTGATACCAGTTCCTGCTTCGAAATGCCGATTCTGTCTTTATCTGCTGAATCGACAACATATATTATAGCATCAGTGTTCGAATAGTAACACCTCCAATATGGACGAATTGATGTCTGACCACCAAGATCCCATACCTATAATGCATTGCATTATGTGAGTGCTCCGTTTAGCAAAAATCTATTACGTCCTAAACGTAATAAATTTTTGCTAAACGCACCTAGACTAATTTTATGAGGTAAAACAGATAAATCACTGAGATTCTGAGGAACATTCAACTGTTATCCTCCAGTTTAGATTTCAGTTTACTGTAGTACATGTCCCAAAACAATTTTTCTAAATAGAGTAGAACAGCTATTTAAAGTGAAACTTGAATACCAGAACATGTAATCGCTTGAAAACCAGAACATGTAATCGCTAACTACTGCTTGATTTTAATAAGAAGTGTTACAAAATATTGTCTTCCTACAAAGAATGTACCTGAAATTTAAGATTCTTATAAATAACTTGTTCCACATTGAAACCTATAGTTGGGATCGTCGTCACAACCTCGCCTACCTGCAAATATAAAAACAACAAACAACTAATATGTTCCTAACTTCGATCCTTAAGTCACCAGATCTTTGTTATGAATAACGATTTTATTATGAATAATAGATATAAAAGTACCTGAAGTCTGTACAATATAGTTGTTTTTCCAGCGCCATCTAGACCCAATATTAAAATTCTCAACTCTTTCTGTCCAAATAAGCTACGGAAATAGCTCAACACTCCTCCTAAAATAACTAAACAGCTGTTGTACTTTAGGAGTGTACTTCGGTAAGGGTTTTATTTTCACCGCTTCAATTACTACAGTTTGTATGTATGAGAAGACGATAACCATAACATGAAAAAGAACTCACCCATCAGTGGAAGCAAATTTCAAGCAATCTGAAATTCGTCCGGTTATGAAAGGTTCAATATTACGTGGTGTCAAGGTTTGCAAATACCAACGATTACCATAATTTTAAATAAAATATAGGAGACTTTCGAAAACCTCAAATAAAATGGCCAACAAATTATCAAGTAGTTTACGAAAACAAATGATCTTCACACTGCAATCTCTTCAAGTTATAAAAATCTGACAGACACTGTAATTACTCAGCTTACTTCTGGATCTTTCCTTTAGTTTCTCTACGCATAATACATAATAGCACGCTATTTTTACATCGGACCGGAACTAAACTTTTGCAAAACCTGCCCTTTCCGACATGCAACCAACCAGCAACTTAAAATCAAACAAACTTTACTCTAGACCACCACCACTTGGTTTATCACATTTCCAATATTTTCATGCGGCCCTGGTAGCATAGACTCAATACATATCGGAATATCGGATAATATATGATCGTCTGTGAGAAGAAAGACAGGAACTAACGTTTTCAAGGTGCACTACATATGGTAAAGAGGCCCGACTTCAGCCTGCATGGCAGGTAAGGTCACACTGCTATATTCAAACTCTCGTGCTTGCTCTCCCCACCTTAACGGTTTGCTTTAACTTGGTCAGCTACCCCTCATACATCAGCTAGAAATTTCAAAATAGATTCAACAGCTAATCACAGAAAGCGACATCTCCCCTCATTTGTCTATCTGTAATTTTGAAAGGATGCAAAATCCCATCTCTGTGCAGTGCTGCTTATTAAACTAATTTATTTGCTTGTAAAAATGTGAAGTGCTGACGGTATAACTTCAGTTCCTGGAACTCATAACAGTAAGTTTCAGCACTATTATATTCATTCACGTTGTGTTGTAATCACGTCATACTCGTTTTGTTTTATAGGAGGATCCCATTCTCATAAATAAGCTACAGTTCATTGGTTGTTTAATCAACGCTCAGCACTTCTTGGCTTCCACTCACCTTCAAAGTCAGAAAAGTACACAGTCCTGAACAGCTCCAGCAGTGGGTTACAAGCATAATAAAAGTATTGTGCATGCCGTTTCATTCTGTATATACTCTAACGTATCTCATGCAAATTCACGCAGTTTATCTTCCAAAGTTGATATTACTGTTATGCCAATCAACGCACTTTCCTCAAAGTATCAATACTGAACACATTTATATCACAATACTGAATAAAAATACTGAGTGCATTAAACTGTGCTGTCCATAACAATACTTATTAAAACATCATTCATAATGCATTTCTTTCAGAGCTATGACTATCTTTCTGTAAGAAGTAGGAAAAAAAAAAAGGCTGGATAAACAATTTTTTGTTTGGAGCATTTATCAAAGTTTGAGCAAAAATAATCATTCTCCAATAAAACGGTTTCATAAACTTTTGCTTGCTATACACGCAGTCTCTTTTCTTTTTTTTCGTTTTCAGCAGTATATGTAAAATTATCTTTTTTATAACTACAAATTATGAAGTTCCATCAAGTGATTTTTCTACAGATTCTGGGTGATGGAGGTGTACCAAACTAAAGACACTGCTTGTTTGATTTTTTATTAGACTGAAGTTTCCTTCTGATAAACGTGAGTTAAGAGGACACAATGCTACTAACATAAACATTCCAGTAACAATATGAATAGATGGTCTAACGAAAACTAATTAAACAAATGTTGGCTGTGCTACCGAAGAACAACATGATGGCAAAAATGATGAGCTCTTGTCGGGAAGAGTAACACCATCAACATGAAAAGCAGAACCAAGGTGGTCGCTATCTTCTGCATCGGAATGCATGCTGGATACCAAAAGGCGGTCACGCATTGCTGCTGCCAAATTATGGAATGCATCATCACAATTAATACCTGTCTTCGCGCTCACCTGTAAATTATTTAAATGCTTGCATTCCCGAATATTTTTCGCCACACTAGCTTAGCGTTTAATGGTTGCTTAAAAGGGAACACTAGCAAAGAAAATTGCATCCACTATCTACTGCACTAATGATCTGGTCTTATACTTTTCTCAGTCTCATTGGAATACTACCGCATATCACGCAGAGTTATTTCAGAACTTGTCCTAGGCTATATCTTAATATTTAATATTTCCCAAAGAATGTTATTCTCAATGCATACATAGAATTAGCACATAAAAGAACAAGCGGTTATTACTTTCTATCCACAGTTCGCATTTCTTGCTTCTTACCGCCCCTAACATTTGATCGTCCAAAAGTGGCATAAAGAAATTGAAATCTTCATTTGCTAGCTAACAGTTATTTTGTGCACTGGAGTTTCCATCAGCATGTCAGTAAATCTATTAAAAAAGAAAAACTTCATAAAGAGAGACTCCAAGCTCGTTAGCGAGGCGTTCAGCGCGTTCAAAATTAACCATTCTTTTGTCTTCTAAATCAGCTTTGTTTCCAATTAGCATTAGCACAGCATTTGATGGCGCGTGCAGTCGAATTTCCTATAATGTTTCAATGAGCAAAACAAATAACAAACAATCGCTCCTTCGGTTGCAAATTCTGTAATAACTACACAAATCCCATTAGATGCTTTTTCATAACTACCAGAATAAACGCCATAGCAGTAAGTAATGGAACTTCGCTGCAACAGAAGCCGTAAAATCAAGTGAGTATAAAATTAGAATTCAATTGTCAACATACGTCATATAAAACTGAGGACATATTAATAGTAAGCAGAATCACGTGACATTTGTTTTTTATCGACGTATCGAACAATTTTCTCAGAAACTTACTAAATTTCAACGAGGGAATCATTAAATAAAAAAATTTTCAAGTAAGAAAACTCGACTTCAGAAAGATTTGTAATACATTTGTTTGTAGAAAATGATTCACCAAACTATTTTCTTCCATAAAGTTTACCTTTAACCAATAATTACGCAAATTATCAAAGGATCGTTCGTCTGTCAAATCATAAACACACATTACTCCATGTGCTGAATGGTAGTATGAGTTATAAATTGTTCTATACCGTTCCATTCCTGAAAAAATTTCAAAACTACCAATTATTTCTAAAAGTATTTCTCACTAGAGTTTAATTCCATTCATTTAATTTAATCTTAGTTTTTGTAATCAACACAAGTGTTTGGTTATTTAGTGCATATGTATTGTCAACGATGCGAGAAACGGTGAATAAAACCATATTTGAAGGACACATTGTAAGCAGAATTTTAAGTTATAAGAGTCGTAAGAAGTATGCAAAAAATAATTCTACGCTAGTTACCTCCTATTTCTGTCATATATATCATTTTTATCAGCTTACTCTGTTTAATTCAGCATGCAAGGAACTTGAAGCATAAATCTAAAATCGGTGTATATATATTGAAAGAGGAAAATTTTTTAATTCTTTTAAAGCTTTTGAACTCAGTGCTTGAATTAGGTTGGTTGAACCGAGAACCCTTTCTATTCTTATTTAGTGAATGCGATACTCACAATGCAGTAAAGATGTGAATTGCAGCTGCTTAGTTACCGCGTGAAAAGAAATGCTAAATTAGGTGAATGAAATTAGAATATGACAATAGAGTACCAGCTGTATCCCACAACTCTAGCCGGATTTTATCACGACCAAGTTTGACTGTTTTCAGTTTGAAATCAACACCAAGCGTAGTAATGTGATCCTGGCGAAATGAATTTTCAGCAAAGCGTAGCAAAATACATGACTTTCCACAGTTATGGTCGCCAACAATAACGATTTTGAATAAATAATTGTAACTCATAATATAACAGCGATGATTTCTACAATACGAATAAGGAAGTCAAAGAGTCAAATACAGTAGGAAACAAAAACAAAGGACGATGACTCAGAGAGATGGTTTGGTTTATATCTGTAGAAATAAGTTGGTAAGTAGGCAATGGATGATGGCCTTTGAACTAGTAACAAACACAATGAGCAGAACACTGAGAGTGACATAAATGAGTGTTTAATGACAAGTCTGGAAGTGGTTGGTTGCTTCATGGATAGACAAATGTATCTAGCGAACACGATGAGTGAATATAGTTCTTATCGATGTACCACGTAGTAGCAGTGACAATAAAACAACAACGACGCGAGGAAGCAACAAGAAACAGTCCACTTCACGTATCAACAAGTCACTAATAGATTTGTAGTACGTGTAAGCAAGATAAATGCAGATTGGTATGAAGCGCTACACGGGGAAGCGATTGGCTTACAAGTGACCTTCCGTCCCCGCTGCACTGCACATCTCTTACGTTCTCACTTCGACACGTTCTTTTTACATGTATAGAGAAATTCTGGTTTCGATAATCTATTGCCACGTAAAGAGTAAGAGGAAAAAGGAAAGAAAGGAAGAGATAGAAAGAGAATGCTGTGTGACTATGAAGTGCGACGAACGCGCATACCGAAATGTTTGAATAAAGGTGGGATAGGGACAAAAACACAGAAAGGGTCAATAATGACATGGACATGGAGGATGAACAAAATTAAAGAAGGCGAAGCAGAAGTGCATGCAAGTAATGCATGCATCTTTAGTATTAGGCGAGCAGCATGCTACAGGTCATTCTTTCACTTTCTATTAATTGCGTATTTTTGTTTCAAGCTGTTGCAACTTCAGACAACATCATGTCGTTGTCTTTTCACACTGGAGTAGTTAATTACTTCCGTTTCATTAACTGGAATTCACCACCAGAAATTCTCCAAGGTCTGAAAACATGATCTCCAATACTTCACTGGCATACTAGCGAATTTCTCTACACTTTTTTTTAAACGAATAAATACTTTCTATGTTCAACAGTCATCTTATACCAACGATCACTTCCTCCACCGCCTTTGTTTACAATCTCTCCATTTCTAGTACAAATTTTCTGCATTCAACAATTAAGCAGTTTTATTGAAATGGATCGCTGAACGTCATTATCTTTATCATAAGGATTGATTTGATTGAAAATTGTGGGAAATTAACATTTAACACGAATTTACCAGTTGTCAGATTTCATTTTAAGAGAATACTGATGTTGTAGGAATTTATGTAGCATTCTTAACTAACAGATGAAGTATCTCTATATTATAACCTATTTAAAAAGTACCCTGCCAGGTTAATTGATGTTTTGATATTAAGGAAATAAGTCATTGGTAATTAATTGGTAATAAATTGAGTAGACAGAATGCTTATTAGTTTAGAAGCATGCTTATTTCATTGGATTTGATTACTTTTTTCCCAAAAATTTAGAGCACTTCTTACCATGGAACTCGTCTGAGAATAATAGCGGTTCGATTAAGGTCCAGAACATATGCAACTAACCTAACTTTTTGAGTATTAAGTTGCCTAGGCTATTGTTTAATTTCTTCAATAAAGCTGAAAGTTTGATAGAGTTGATTTACCTGTCGAAAGATGATAATGAAAGTAACCGTGGAGTTTGAATAAAACCTTGCTCGGATCAGCTATGAAACTTGGATCATTATTCTCGACCACGGTCGAAATCAGAACTGTTTGCATGCGAAATTTAAATTTTATAAAAGTTTTCAGGTCATACAGAAAGGATCCAGTATTCTCCATACATTGGAAACAATTCAAGGTAGGATTTCCTTAAAGTAAGTGTGAGTTACCTTCGAAGCAATGTTTTTTTTTTTTTTTTTTTTGAGTCGTCTGTGATATCGTCGTCATTAGATTGCACTTTTGCGATAAGCTTACAACAAAGTTGGATTATCAGCGGTATGCAACAGAAATCAAATATCAGATTTCGAGAAAGAGATTAGCAGTAATAGTGTTATTTGAAATTAGTAATGAGTCATACTAATGGTGTTATTGATGATATTCTGTTGTGTCACGTACTTCCTTGAAATTTGAAGGATAGGAAGCAGAAGCTCAGAAACTGCTTGCGGATTTTATTGTCATATCGAGTTTGATCTGAAAGTTCAGTGTGGAAAATAAATAAATGGGGATGCAATTATCAGCACCCATTGTAAGAACAACTGGAGGACAGTTGGTGCAATGCTGAGAGCATCTTTCTCCTCCCAGTGTTTTCAATTTTTATAAAAGAAACTCAAAGGATGCAAAAATGCCTTCAATTCTCAACACGATGTTTCTTTCCGCATTCATCTTTTGTTCCTTCATTTATACCATACCAACGGTTCGCTATTTTTCCCGATTCTAAATTTACTTGTCGATTAAATATAGATTTCTAGAAATCAGAAAGGTAGTAGTCTCAATTGTTTTCTTGTTATAAACAAATTGGTAAGCAGAATAAACTGACACTCAATAGTCATTATTGGAAATATCTATTGACTAAAATCATACTTCTGTAATAACCTCTTTTGACAGAACTACTTTTTGAGATGACAAGTGTAAGAGTCATAAGACGTGATACGGCAGCAATATTACAAAAAATGCACAACAATTTGCGGGAGAACTGTTTCCCACGACCAAGTGGTGGATGTGCATGTACTGTTAAACAAGGGGACGGTGTAGAAACTGTCGAAAATTACGATTCCAGTGAACAGTGCAGGTTGGATATTGCAGGTAATATTTGCTATTAAATATTTGAAATCCTCGGGAAAATTCTGAGAGGCATCCATTCGCTTTGAAAAATTGGCTGAAAGTCATTACAGTGTAATGAAGATTCAGAAAGTTTCGAGTGAAGCCAATTAATTAACAGGAAGTGCTTATATTATCTTTTTGTCGGAACTCTTTAAATAATCTTGTCGAGATTATTACAACAGCAACAACTAAAATGATATCAATACAATTCAGTCCAAACAGTGTGATACACAACAGGAAGTTAATATGTTAAGCATATCCTGCACACATCAGACACCTGCTTTGATTGCGATAGTGATTTGAATCATTTCTAACTCAGTGTAATTCTAGCTTATTTGTAACTTATTTTGATATGATTTTCAAGTCTCCATAGTTTGTGTATGATAGGGAATGATACAATGTAAAATATCATCTTTACACATTTCGAAATTAGTTTGCAGTTGTATGCATTCTGCAGAGCATTGCATTCTGCTTTCATCTTTTTAAAAGTAGGAAAAGTGTAAAAAGCAGTCATGGGAAAATCGTATTCATATTTTCTGACTATATAAAATCACTGCTATGACAAAAAAGCAAAGTCTAAAATTAACAAAAATTTGAATAATCTGCCCGAATTAGTATCCTATGATTCAAAACTTTATTGACATATAGATTAAACCTCCTTTAGGTTCGGAATTTGGTTCATCATTTGTTCTTTATCAAGAATGGACAAGCAATTGATAAAATATTGTTTAAGCATAGTCATGACAAATTTTATCAAAAAGCTGCATAAATCAACCGTTTTTTGCAAGTTGTCTGATGCAGCCATCAGTTAATTGAATTATTGAGAAACATTAAAGCTTGCATTTTCTGAACTTTTAGAAAATCAAATTTTAGCACAAACAGTGCATAATAAAAAACAGCTGAATGAGGAGATCAAAGATCGATATGGTAATTACAAGCAAGACTGCTTCCCGTTACCATCTGGGGGTTGTATGTGCACTGAAAGAGATGCAGTTGGTAATGAAGTGATGAAGAAATACGATGATGGGGTGCATTGCAAATTTTCGCAGGTATGCTCTAAACTTCCTATTGAAGCTGAAATTATATAGTAGGAGTCAGTAAAAATATCTCTATGGAATTTTCGAGTGCATTCCGAAAATTTCAAAGCTGTTTGTATTTCTCTAGAAAAAATGCAAACTAGACCAATAACAAGAGTTCTACTTGTTTGCTATATGCTTAAATTATAATCTTTATCTACTAATAACAGACATTTGTGGTTAGACCAAATTTATCATTCTATTAATCCATCTCAATTCTTGGCTTTGATAAAGGATGTTTATGTTAAATTAAAAAATAGATTTGGAAAAATTATTCAGTTTTAAACAATTCGCAGTTTGCATTCATTAACGTTTGACATTATTATACTATTAAAGTTTCTTTTTAAAAGTACCTCCCACGTAAGCTGCAACAGTTCTAGCGAAAGTTCCCAAATTCTAAAAATTATTTCAATTAATAGTTCTTGATGCTATAAGCACAATTGATAAATTCATCTCTTTTTTAACGGTTCGGATATTTCGCTACACACTTCATACCATATTTTTATTATTTTTAATGCATACAATATAATTCTTTTAAATACCTCTACCACTATTTTTATTTTTTCATTTGTATTCCTCCTTACCAGCAAGTTGATCTGCAATTAGTTTTCATTCGATAGCTATCCAATTTCTAAACACCAGTACACTAAATCCTTTTCCTACATCCCTATTTATCTTAAAAGTAATGCATATTCATCCATTTAATCGAAATATCTTTGAGACTATTTTCGCTGAAATTTCACCACTGTTTCCGATCATCAGATTTAAAGTCGTCTTGAGAGTTTGCAATAAACATTAAATTTCTTATTTCAAATATTCAATATTGCAGTATATTGCAGCAAAAATTCTCAAGATTTTAACCACATCTTAAATAACACTATTTAATTCCAACAATTAATACTTAACTCTCCACATTGAACTCTTATGTATTTTGTTGTTTGTTAGAAGACTAAAAGAACAGCTAACGAACAGCCACCGCAAAATGCTCGTGATCCAGTTCGAGAACGGGCTCAAGCAAATTATCGTGCCGTCATTAATGAGTTAAATGAAAAATTTAAAGGACTCAAAGAAGGATGCTTTCCGAGACCTAAGGGTAAGTACAACTTTCAACTTCAGACTTCCAAAAAATAAATTTTTAATCAGATGAAAAACATTAGCAATTTGCTTTGTTCGTCTAACTCTCCAGTTTAATCACAACGACATGGTCACAAATTTCGATGCAAATGTTTTGTTAATTCTGGAAATTCAAGGATGTTTGTGCGTGATCGGAAAAGATCGAGATGGGCGAGATATCACGGAACGACGAATGAAAGATCGAGATTGTAAGTGTCAACCTGGTGAACGTAGCCATGGATGTCCAACAGGTGGTGCCTAGTGTGAGAAGCAGTAGTGTTCTTATTATTTTTTTTTGTGAAAAAAAAACTGTCCCAGCATATTTTTATTATCTATAAAGCCATTCAATCCCCCTATGATTTTCAGCCAAGCATTTCATTGACATATTTTTGATATTTTCACGGATTTTTGATAAAATGTAAATATAGACGACTAGTCAAATAAAACTGGTTTTAAAAAGTTTCATTGTAATTCTGGGTTTTATGAATTGCTTCATCAGCAGTGAATGCTTTATTTTAGTATTTCTGCAGTATTTCCAGGAAAAACAATTTTATTCCATTTACTAATAAAATTCTTTGATCGGTACGAATAACAGTTTTTTTTTTTTTTTTTTCAGTTTTAGTAATCTTCAAATCATAGTTTAACTGTTATCCATATATTTAAAATAAACCTGACTTTTAGAGATGTTGCAAATGTCTAGAGAAAACCCAAAATATTGATTTTCGTAATAGGTAGTCCTATCATTTGAAATTAATGCTCACCCGAACAAGTGTTATTTAACTTTTAGGGTGGGTTATTTTGCCTCAAACATATTCAAGAAAATAATGGATTATCGCCTGTTGTTATTTGAAAATTTTCGTGCCTTCCAGTATTGATCCTTTTTACCTTCATAATCTAGAAATTCAACACGTTGTCAAGAACTTTTTAGAAATGCACAGGATCACTAAGTAGATATTTAGTCTTCTACTCAATTATTTTCACCACTTATAGGATCTAGGGGATCAGACCACCTGGTGACTTTCCTAAAATGAAGCTTTTTTTGATTCATGAGTTTATTCCTGTACAAATCTAAGTATGACTTCTAATTCATGAGATGAGGTGGGATTGTGAAATTCTTTAGTGGGCTTAGCTATTCTTGGGAAAGGTTGGGTTGATTTTTTCGTGTTTGAAACTTGTAGTAATATCTTCATAACTGGAACCTTAATTTCATAATTCTGTAATAAGTTCAAGTTGCAGGCTTTGCTACTTTTTTGTTAATGGATTGAAGCGATGTAATTGAAATCGAATAGACAAATGTTGCAATTAGGAGATAAAAAAGAGATATCTGAGCTAGATAAAAATTTAAGAGTACGTGATAGCTTGCTGTATTAGTTATAAATAGAATGAAGAGTATTTAAAGTGCACCGACGAATGAAATGTTTTGAAAACTTGAATAAACATCTTATTAAAACTTCGTTTCATATCTACACTGTTCTACTAGCTTAATAAGCATATTTCGGAGGTGTTGCCTTTCATAAATAAGTTGCAAACGGATTATCATAAAAATTGCAGTTGATATCATCTTTGCATAAATTGCATTACAACCGTCAAAAAATTGAAGCGAAAGTTTCTTTGTTTATGAAATAGATGGACTTCTTTTATAGTTGTTAATCTTTATGACAGTTAGTTATCAAGAAGTTGGAAGTCTCAGACGTCTACAAATTGTTTCAAAGATAAGTAGTACTTTGTCCTCTTTACAGCAAATTTTGAAAATCATTCATTGAGTATATTATAAAACGTAGTGGATGAGTGTACCTTATGACAGCTATACAACAAAGTCTGAGCTTTATTTTTAAAGCTGAAAACAATTTTATATTTTATAAAATTTAGCGCAAAACTGTAGATTAAAAGTCGTTAAGGAATGTGTACTTAGTGGAAAACGTAAGAAAAGAAATGCATTATAAATTATAAGTAGAAAATGGCAAAAACCAACAAAAATCTACATTTTGATTTAACTATAGAGTTATAGATGATAGTGTGATTATTATATAATAACATAAACTCTTTAAAGTGGACATCGATATATTACTTCAACTAACAATTTTGAAGATCGGGGGATGAACGGAGATGAAATGAAGTCCTTGTTGCGATTCTCTAAACAGTTCCTTCGCTATAGTAACAACACAGCAGACACTGAAATATAAACTACAAACTCTTCAAAATTTTACATGACTTCTTTTATTTTCTCAACGCCCTTGATTTCGACTCTTATATTCTGTGGTATTTTGTATGTCATCAAAACTATTCATAATGAAAGCAGGAAAAAAGTAGATGAAACACAGTTAGAAAGTAGTGATTTTAAGGTGTAGATCTGTTACTTTAGAAAAGGAAGTACGCCTTTAACTTTTCGAAAAATTCACTTTGTCAAGAAACTGGAAATTGCTTACAGATCCCTGTCCAGCTAATTCATTGCTTTTGCAGACAGACTGGCCTGGGCACTGACCGTCAGAACCACAAAAACCAATCTGCACACCAACATGACAAGTGCATCGTGTATTTGCATCATACCCAGGGATCACCAGAATAGGGGACATCAGGTATCCACTTGAAGTATGCGAATATAGCTGAGCTATTGATGGATACGTTACAGTAATACCTAGGCTAATTATTGGAATTTCCTCTGATTGCATTCCTTAAGTTTTGATAAGGAAATTAAACTTCATTAATTTGATATAACATAACATTCAATTATATTTTACAACTTTTATCAGAACCATAGAAATTTTCTTCTTCACCATACGACCCCTTTTTTGGGATGTTTTAATTTATAATGTAATAAGATGAAAAGACTAGAACGCTGGACAATATGCTAACAGTAAGTATTTTTTAAGATGCAACAAAAACTGGATTAGACAAGGGTACAAAATACGTAAAAACAAACAAAAACTTACTAGGATTCCATACGCAAACCTGCAGGAGAGCATTAAAGATAAGGCCTGGTTCGCAAGGCATACTTTGCCATCTTCCACAATACAAACTGTTTGGTGCTGGCTGACACTGCAGAAAATGTGATGGACTTTCTGGATCAGCAACAAGCGATTCGATCATCCATGAGCAAATTTTCTGATATCTAGAACCCTCAACACTTTGTCCAGCTGCTGTAAATAAGAATTATTCGTGATTAGCTGAAAAAAAATTTCATCACTCTGATCTTCGAAATTACCATCTATACTATTTATTTTGTGTCCTAAAATATGACCCCAACTCATAAGATAGGTCCTGAAAAACTGCTTTAAATTCTGACTTCACTGACGAGAATTTAGTGTTAATGTTTGATGCAGTGACTGACCGATCATTCCACTTTTCATTCTATACCTAAACGAAAAAATGTGGGATCGGAAAATCATAGAGAAATAAATATCATTCAGTCCCTCTCTACATCTTCTCCCTCTTTCTCTCCCTTAAGAAATCCATTAGCATTTGTCTTTGCATTTCACTTGGCCGATCCAAACCTGTAGGACATGGTTGCGGCGCAATGATAGTAGAATAGTGTTGTTTCCCTGCTTTCCCCTGTATCTGAGTACAGTACTGTTGTCCGTCATTTAAAAGTTGGCAGCCTTCCGGGATTTGCTTATTCTGAAAATAATCACATTACAGTCAGAAGATATTTCTATTCAAATTGTTGAAGAAAATAGTTAAACTGAATTTAGGACATAAATTAAGCCAAATCAAATCAAATTCCTACCGGGAGTTTATTGACACCGGAGAAATTAGTTGAACCTGATGAACCACAGGTACATAAGCTGTCTGAATTCGAACAGATACCACAATTATCATCCTGAATTATATCTCATATTTAAATATTTCACATTGCAGTTCCATAATTGCTCTACGAGAGTTTCCCGAGATTCTTGCAACACTATCCAATCATTTTCGATAAACAATCTTAACTGCAACAAAATAGCAAGAAATATGGCTTACAGAGATTATGCATCTTTGTTCACTCTGACAGGGCGCATGACGAGCTTGACGAGCCTGGAATATGAAAACATTTTATGTTATTCAATTTCAAAATGAAAGTAGAGTTAAACATCTGAGATTCTTTTATTCCAAAAAATCTTTAGAAGACAGTATCATTTCTACCCTTACCTTTCTTATTTGGAATATAATATGAAAACAATCCCAGTCTATACCTTTGATATATTCTTTTCATTCATAACTTTATCATATGTGACTAGCTCGATGATTACAACTTTTGGGCAGTCACAATTCTCTTCATTCAAGACACACAGGCATTGTTCCTTTTGTTGCTCCACTCTTTTCACTACGAGCTGCAATCAAATATCATTATTTTCTAGTTTAGGAAATGGAACAGGATTTTCCATTTAATTCACAGCCTAACCTTTGGACCATTTCTTAGCTGAGGACAGAATTTATATTTTTCAGCATTGGACCCTTCGCACAACTGCTGTCGAGCTTTAATGAATCCAATGACTTTACATTCTCGAGCTGATGTTACAAACTGATATCCAATCGGGCAGATCTTTGATGCCCAGATACCAAGATCACTACTAAAACAGTACCAAAATCTTGCATTTTTTCAACAACTGAATTTTTCGGATTTTAAAAGCTATTTTTCGAATTGACCATTATCTAACCGATTTCCAGCATTTTCGGCTTGGAATACGCACTCGATGTATTTGTTTGGATCAGTTGTTGGACGTGGAAAAGATGATAATTGGCAAATATCACCAATAATACTACGCCAAATCACTGAAGAGATGATGCCATTATCTCCACTATTGTCTCTTCTATTTTCTATTGATTTCGTGTAGCACTGTACTGAAACAAATAATTTTCAGTTATAGCTACACAAATACACATTCAGTTACAGATATTACATGTATAATATTGCTTTTCGATTAAAACTTTGTCTTTTCTGACATTTAGTCTATTTCACGTTTTATTACACTAAGAAATACTCTCAGTTTAAACGAGTACCAATAACTGTTGAGGAGATGCTGCATTGATCCAGGGAAATCTATATTTGGAGACTGATGAAGATGGACATACCGAAGTAGATAGAAAATGAGCTGGTAAGAAGAGTGATAAGCTGCATATTGTAAATGAAATAACAATGAGAATAAGGCAGTAGAAGAGTAAGAGCAGAATAGGATGGACAAGGAATAAATTAAAAACTGGGTGCAGATCTCATACCTTTTACCTATTTGTAGGAATGAGGGAAAGCCACACAAAACTAGAATTTTTTTTTTTTTCGATATGAATTTTTTCTTCATTTTTACTAGACAGGTTATCATCCTGGCCGGATTCATTACCTCATTTGATTGATAACTCCCTCTATATCATTAATTCACTTTCCCTGCAACATCTATGCATTTCTTATATATCGTAGTGTCTATAATAATCATTCCAGCAAAAGAAGTGCTGTATCTTCTCTTTCATTTACATTCTAGTACATCACATGATTCATTGTGAAAACAACTTTCATATCAACAAGACGATAACTTGTAAGTGTTATTCATACCACAATTTTTTTTCGCTTTCAAACATGACACATTCACTTCAAGTTGGTGTCGTACAAGCGTAAATGCACACTTTTTCAGTCAAATTTGCTCTCAGTAAGTGCTTAGTCTTCCAGATTTTCGAATAATTAATAATTTGGACATTTTAATTTTTATGTTACTTTTAGTAGGTCTTCTTAATAATTTGAAATCAATATATCTCCTGATTGGTTTACATCCTATTTGAAGTTCAGATATCTGAAAATTTCAACTTGTAGGAAATGGAATGAGGAAAGTCTGTATTTGAAGAGATTAAAAGAGAGCATTAAAAATGCCAGTGTATGTATATCCGATGTCCGGCCTCAAAACATCAAGCTTCTTCAACTTTTAACCTGGTCCTCAGTAAGTCCGTAGAAAACGGACTGTACGTGTTATTATTTAGAAACTTTGAAATGTGTTCATAACTTTGCACAAATAATTTCGAATATAATTCGCACATCAATGTAGAGGCGGTGTAGTTCATAGTTCGTAATCATTAAGAGGGTGAATTTTTTTTTGGATAAAGAATAAAATAATTATGTGACGTTATATTCAATCCACTAGTATCACCAGTTTTTTTGCATATGCTGATGAAATTCGCCTGTAAAACACATATTTTGAATTGATGCCTACTAAATGGCAAATGCCATGCACTTCATAGGCATTCTGAACGGGCGAGCTCTGAATTCAGAAATATGATGTTGAATCAAAGAAAACGTTTCCAGAAAACACGCTTTGAAAATTTTTAGGACGTGGTTATAACCTTTTCAACTGACAGAGGAATAATTCGTAGAAACGAGAATCCCGAAAAAATGAAGAATCTCAAAACAAAATGTAGACTGGAACTGGATAATTCGAATTAAAAACTGGTATGAAACCAGCTATTTCTAGAATGCTTAAATGAGCTATTTTGAACAATTACTTCATTGCTTGAATTAGAACTTTAAAGTGTCTTTTTCGGCATGTTAATGAAACACATAAGGATCTCTATTTCTACGGTTACACGTTTTTCGCGATTAGAAATTTGAGTATGTCAATTTTATTGTCCTGTTTCTTATTTTTTGCCTTTTCAGATATGTGCAATTATGACACTACTCACTTACTCAGCAAAACTTTCGGGAACAGTTCAACATCCTCTTTGAAACTGTTGTACAATATGAATCTCCCCAAATACTACATACCTGTTTACTGACTCCAACAAATGTATTAGTCACATGTAAAATCTTCCACACTGAACATAATCTTTAGTCGATTTGAAATTTAACCGGTTCCAATTTATGTTATGGACTGAATCAAAACAGGATAATGTACGCCATTCAGTTTTTTAAATTTTAAACATGTACCATACAAGTCATGTCCTTACTTCGCAAAGAACTCATTCAGCACAGCTCCACACTAGTTTTAAGGCAGTTTCACACGAAAACTAGAACACTTTACTTCTACAAGTCAGATACTCATCCACAATCATGTAACCACCAGCTCTCTATTGCGCGATTTGTGTGATAAGTTACCACTACTTTCTAAATAACGTATTTATAAATTAGCTTCATTCTCCAGAAGTCAAATCAGTGTTCAGAAAAGCAGGATTTTCAAGCAGACAGAAGGAGATCATAGGTCGAATAGAACGCAGAAAGGTATGCGAACAACCAAATATTTCGTTCAACCTTAACGATAAAGCAATACCGAAATGGGCTGGCTTACTGCACTGTACATTTTTTTAATCAGCATTATTCTGACACTTCTTTGTTCGATTCTTTTCCTTTTTCTTCCAATAACTTTTTCTTCAAGACAAATATTAATTAAGAACCAAAAACTTTTCCTAAACCTTCAAGACGAAGTTTTGAAATTTTCTTTGGAATTAACTTAAAGATGTTTATCTTAAATTAACTTAAAGATATTTGTCACCAATATTATTAACAAAGAACTTTACTGAATTCTTATTATCAGTATAGCGGACTCATTTCAATTATATTGACATCACTTTTTAAAAAGTCGAAGTGAGAGAAATCAAAAATTCACTTTTTTTAAAACTGGTTATTATAAAAAACTCAACGAATCATTCCTCTTTTTGTTGTCCAGCATAAGTGAGGATACCAGTTCCTCTGCCAATAAGGTATTCCAATTTTATATTAAGCGTCAAATAGTCCAACAAAAAATCGGCATTGCTTTTACATCTGTATACCTTATAAGGCTCGAGAACACTTTTAATAGCTGTTGTTGCTTCCATCAAATGGTAATGAGGAATTTTTGTGAAAAAGAAATGATGGGCCACGTGTCCTAAAGTGATAAATTATTAATGCTGATATGAAATATGAAAATAAATCATGAATTCACGATTTAAAACAGAAAATTCCGCTAGCTTTTCTCTAAAACTTTAAAGAATTTAAATCTGCACTCACTGAGGAAGAATTCATTCTGAAAATATATGATGTAACTGTGACATCCACTGACTAGTTCATTTTCTTTTATCTAAAGATCAACATTAAAAATTGATACCATCGGTAATATGATGCAGCAGCGTATCAATACCAAAACCGTACACTCGATCAATGGTTTGCACTTGCCCCATTACATAATTCCAATAACCTTCTTCGTAAACCTAAACAAACATAAAACAAGAACAGTCTGGTCAACTTCAAATGACTCACCACATAGTGACATCGAAGCGATTTAAGTGCGTAATATTGAATAGTCTACTTATGACCCACTCTACATTACACTAAATCCGCCTATAAATTCTTCAGCTTCATATCTTCTTCAGTTCTTTATTGAACAGGAAAATGATAAAATACAATTAAAACGTAAAGGACCCATTTAAACTAAGGTTTCAAATTTCCTGTAACAGTTCCCTCGTTAAGTATACTGACCATTTATAAATATATAGAGAATGGAAAATACAAAAAAGCAGAAAGCTAAACACCATACTGAAGTAGCCCAAGATCGTTATCACTCAATAAAATACATTCACTTCATAGATACAAAAAAACACACAATTATATGCTATTAATTTTATACAGCGAAAAAAAAAAAAAAAAAAGGCTAAAAGACACACCTCTATACTGTAATCGTTGTGTTGGAGATAAGTTATGATAACAAGCCAATAACCTTGAAACAACAACGAAATGTAATAATATTTGATGAATGTGAACCAGCTATAATTACATATAACGAAGGCTACCTGGAATATTTATTAAGCTGTTGATAGCAATATTTATTAAGTTTTTGATACACTAAATTCAAAAACGATGCAAATTTCACATATCCTGCATGTATAATCACTTTTAAGTTTGTTTTAGATTTGCTATTATTTCTTAGCACCAATAAACTAACCACAGCACAAAATAAGCATGCCAAACTACTAATAACACATTCCACTCGTTCGCGATTGCTATTAAAAAGCTTACTATAAGGCCAAAAGTGGCTACCATCTGGTAAGCCGACCATCGTATATATCGGACTCCACCTAGAAATGCTTTGTTGAAAAAATACAACGTTATATTAAACTGATATATTTCGTTAAAGTAAAAGCAGTTTAGTTAGTCACATACATTCATCAGTAGATAAAAAGCAGAGGATTCCAATATCAAGGGAAGATGGTTTAAAGGAATTCCCATATTTACTTTAATATCCTATATCAATCAAATCTAGAAATACATCAAACTAACCGAATAAAACCAGAAAGTGGAATCTTTGAAAAGTTGCGCATTATCCAACCACGCGTCATGAAATCTTTCTCGATCACCCAGGGATGTCCCTAAATTGAAAATGGATTTGAAACAATCGACTTCTAACATTAATAGAAATTAGGAGAGTTAATCCATCACTAATTAAGACACTATCAAACAGAAGAGAGCAAACAGACCATATCATTGTCAATATGAGAAGTATACTGATGATGTCGTCGATGTGACTTCTGCCAGGGCCAATATGGTGCCAAAAGTGGAGCGTGAGCGATATGTCCAAAGAGGTCATTGACCCAAGTATATTCGGAAAAGGTACCATGACCGCAGTCATGACCAACTACAAATAGTGACGATCCAAACATTCCCATACAACAATACCTGAAGTTACACATTTAAGCACACAACCTATTTCTAAATTCCAAAGTGTCCAACAACAATAGATCGACTTTTTGTAATAAACCATACATTGCTATATTAGAATCATGAAGCAGATGTGAACTTATCTTACCATATAAACAGCCCAAAAATTCCAAACGACTCGAATATACCAACAAATCTGTACAAACCGTACAGAATCATTAAGTCGAGAACTAGATAAAACAATGATTTGAACAGCGACCTTTCGAAACATGATGAAGGTACGGCACGTTTTATTTCTTCAAACGACGGCAATTTCGGTTTTGGTCGCTTAAAAAAAAATTAAAGAGTAACAAGCCATTAAAACACTCAAAATTGACTAATGAAAGTAATGTACTCCATTTTTAATAAGTGTATTTAGTGTTCACTGATGCGTTCACTGTTATAAAGAAGTTATTCCTCTTCAGGAAGCTACTGAAAATGTCTTTGTCTGAACCTGGCGTACTTTCTCTTTGAATAATATCCATTATAACAAAATGATAACATAATTTGAGAATTCTTTATACTTGAGTAAAGAGAGCAAAGCAAAGACTTTAAAATTCTGTAGATTATTTTGTGTACAAAGATTTATTACTGCACATCTGAGTAATGAACGATGTAGTCATAACAAAACTACAGCTTTATTTTATTTACTGGTGATAAAATGAAGATGAAAAACTGGAAAGCTCAACAAAGACAGCCTTAACTATCCCACAACTTATTTTTACGTCCTAAAAAAAATTGATGCTCCGAAGCTAAAAAGTGACAAGTCTACATATTTCCCTTCATATCAAATTTCTGCATACATCTACTTGCTTTTCTTGAAGATTTTTTCCCAAATATATATGTATTTGGAATCAACATATTACCGCTTATTCTTCAGTGTTAGAGGATACAAACGTTTTATAGCTTAATTCACTTAAAATTTTTTAGTATAAAAACTCAGCGTTCTCTTTGAGAAAAACAGTTTATTACAATACATTTCTCTTCTTGGATGCGTTTGAACGCCCGACAGTTCTCAAGGTGAAATAGCTATTATGCAGTCTACTGACAAAACAAACTTCGGAAAATAACACCATCAAACTATTTTGTGTGCTTCAATACACTATGAAAAGTACATGTCTGATCCTTATAATTTCCAAGATGGGAATTATAAGGATCAGACAATTTAAATTAGCAACAAAGCAATAGTTATTCTCATAAGTTACTAAAACGATAACAAAGAAGTTCACTGTCAAGAACTTCATCATTTCGAACAGACAACCTAGCAGAGCTAATTGGTCCCAACTTGAAAGTAACTCGAAACTACTCCGCATAACTATACAGGATTAAGTAATGCAAATTTGATTGCGTTAGCTAATCACTAATTTTAACAGTGGTTTCTATATCAGTTGTACCTTATTCTACACCCTCAATGACTCGTGAGTCAGAAAATTCCACATAGTGAAGCACTCTACATTCTGAAAGCGCTTGAACAAACCGAATTGAAAGAATCGAACACAAAGGGAAACAGTACGGAACACTACGCGTCACATGTGTGTAATTTGCAATATTCGCGTAACCTAACAACAAAAAATGCATAAACTTCCATCCTTACTTGATAAAAAAGCGATATTCAATTGGACAAGAACAACTACCAAAAGAGTAGACAGTTGTCAAATTTCGTTAACAGATCCTATGACAGAGATAAAGTCTTATATCAAATAAAATATCCCAAATAAAACTCTATCACACAAAACTCTACTACAGCAAACAGCAAATAGTACTTACTTGGGATGTAATCATTGTCATCGTCGGTGTTGCAGTCTGACGTGCCGCACTACCTGCCATCGGTATCCTTTTCGCATTCATAGATCTGCCAAACCGTTAATGAGAACCAAGTAGAAGGTCAACAAACATCAACTGCTCGCTACCCGTATCATGTTCTTTGATCTCCACTCCCTGAATCACTCTTTCTCATCCACTTGCTCATCTCTGCAACTCCTCGCTTCCTCTCGTATGTCATTGCAGTGGTCGTTGAAATTCTTCGGTGGAGTAGTTTAAACTCGCTGAATTTGAGAGTGTCTTACTCAGACTCTATTATGAACTTAATTTATTGAAGCTCTCTTAATATGTTGCTTTCTTTTCCAGCAAACAATCGGTAAACAGACAGAATCCAAAAATTACTAGCAATGTGTAACGGGTGACTCAAACGTACGTATGGAGGAAAATATTGTTTACCACTGCTAGTATCGCGATCTTTTTTGCTCCGTAAGGAAAAAAGGTTTCGAAAAACACGAATACGAAATTTTGCTGATTAGAATTCGGTTTTTTTCTGCCAAGAGATTTGGAAAGAGACCGCACAGTCAATACAGAGATGAAAAAGTAGGATGCTGGAGGATGTATAAAAAATATGCTCTTTATATGCACATGCAGAAAAAGCGTACAATATACAACACATCGAACTTTGAAAAAATAATATTAATGCTGGCATGCAGAAGTTTATAAAGCCACGTCAAGAAAGCCAGCTAGTAAATCTTTGACTACGCTAACGAAATTACAGCATTTAATAACTTTATAAAACCAATCTTTCGTGGCGTCGTGTTCAATAACTAGGAAACCAATATTTCTCGGTTATTTTAGGTCACTTTTCAATAAATTCATTTTACAATATTTCTCCGTTCGAAAAGATATCTGAATAAAGAGGAAGAATTCAAGAACCTTATTCAAACAGATAAAATTAAATGACCATGTTTTCCACGGAATCGAAAAAATATGAGCCTTCGGTGGAGGTAATGAGATAATTTCTTAAAACCAACAGTTATCATTAGCTCTTTCCTAAATTCTCTTAATGCGGTTTTTAAATTTTGAAAAAATCTCTAGATGACGATGACACACAGTTAAGTTTCACGGCTGAAATACGGAAAACAGAAAAAAAAAAACTTCAAATTTATTTTTTTTAAAATGTAAATCCGATCTAATATCCCACCACTCTATGATATGCATTCTTAAGAGTGGATATTCATTTTCACATATTCGTAATGAGATAAACAACAGTAATCCCGCACAAATTAGAAAAATCAGAAAGCCAAAAAACACAGTATTATTGAACCAGTACTCATAAAATCAAATAAGACTTTCATAAACAGCAAACAAAGAAAGGAGAAACACTTGAACCACAAAACTTTTCTGAAATATGAAATACCTGAAAAAAAAAAAAATAATAATTACTAGCAGTAGTAAAACATTAGTCTGAAAAATAAGTCTGTCATATCAAAGATTAATTTCAATTCTTAAAATGTTTCTGTATAGACGTCCCGAAAAAATAAAAACCTCAAAAAACTTCAACTAATGTCAAATACCCAAAAGGCCAAAGTAAAAGTCATGGATACAAAAAAAAAAAAAAAAAAAAAAAAAATTATAACGAAAACCAACTGGAATAAACCAAGAAATATCAAAATCACGTAAAAGAAACAAATACATCACATAAACGAAACGCGAATGGAATAAATTTTCTGATTTACTGAAAAGTATGATTACCAAAAACAAGTAACTGCTAAAATTTATTAGGCTATCCTCATCCAACTTTGCGAATAACATCATCTTGAATAGAAATAAAATAATGGTCATCAAAGAGAAAGCAAAGAAACTGTGAATGTCTTTCTTAAATTTACAACTTTTTATTTTCTACAAAGATATTTCGAGTCGCTAAATGCATCTTTAAAATTTAAAAAGTTAAGAACGTACATCTGGTTCACAAGTTAGAAATGCATCAAGTTCTAAATCGTATGATTAAAAGAAAATGAAGAAATCTTCAGGTATCGTATAAATCACAAATGTTCGAAATGGCCCATCATTCACTGTGCAAGTGCAAGAAATATTTCATATACCTTATAAGTACATAAAGAAATAAAAATATTTGGAAATGGATTTATAACATGAGAATTAATTTAAAAATTCAACATGAAATTTACAATAGGATACACTAGCATAAATCAATCCACAAATAATAAAGCTATTACTTTTACTATTTACATTTGCTTTATAGAAGAAAGACATACTGATAAAAAGAAAACAATTGAAAACCCGGTCTTCCATGGAAACAAGAAGAAATATGATTTCAGAAAACTTAAAAAAACATAAAAACGTTCAAAAAAGCGAAATACTGAAAAACCTATCTGCGGAGTATTTTTGGATGTAATTTTCATTGTTTGATTACTTATTATCTGTATTGTTTAACTGGTCGTCCTGACGGCGGTTAGTACTCCTGGTTTCTCGTGGGTCGCAATCAGCAACTTCTGGACAAAAATTTGTTATTTCGAATTTCTTGATTTGATATCCAAGCCTTAATGAAAGATAATTATTAATAAATCTCTTACATAAAATTGGAAGAAAAACTTAAATTGGGCTACAAAAAATCATAATCCTAAAATTAAAATTGAAAAAGTACATAATTGTATGATATTGGGATAAACTATCTAATCTTTTAGGGTTCAATTCTGATTAGTGGAGGTCACTCTGAGGATGTCTTTACGCTCTATCTGAAGTATAAAAAAAACCAGTCAATTTCTTTTGCCGTAAAAAGCAATAAGCAGTCAACGCTGACGAACGTTACAACTAATTTATTCACAAGAATGGAAATAACGTACCAATCGTAATCAATGCACAAACCGAGTGAAAGAATAATAATTAAATAAAAATTCAGCTTTATCCCTTTCGATGTTTTTGGATGGATCTTTGGACGTGAGTGAAAAATAGTATTCGAGAAATTCCAGTAACCTCGACCTACTTTTCTGTCGGTATAATGCATTGGATCCTTCCGTTTGTTGCCTGTATAAGATTGCTTTACTTGAAAAATTATTTATAGAGATTTCTATGAGAGGAAAAAACACTAAAGTTTATAAGAAAGAAATACATGAATCATGAAGCCAAAAATCAATCAGAAAATATAGATAAAGCTCAACCTAAAATCGTATATTTCGATGGGTGATAATCATCTTCTGGTTTTTTTATCTCATTCAGCGATGGAATGCCACTTTCAATCCTTGTAACAAAGATGCCAAAAGATGATAATCTAAGCAAATTTCTATAAGATGTCTTTAACATTCCTGCAAAATAGCACTATAATTTATACGAAAGGAATCAAGTAAGAGAAATAATAAAAGCAAACATCATCACTCAGAAAACGACCTCAGCTGTTAATTAATTCCAATGAATGAACATGGACCATTTCACAGCCTCATTGTTTCAAGAAGAAAATGCTTAAATAAGATCGTTTGCACCACACACAAAATAGCGCAAATTGTTATCATTTGGTGAGACATGAAAATAAGAATTTCAAACTTCGTGGCATGCGACAGAGTTGCAATGTTTGTGACGATGTTGTTGGGTATCTAGGGTTGATTTGAGGGTGCATGCAAGAATGCCGAGTAGAATATACAAACGCGAACCAATAAATGACGAAATTATGGTTCAAATGAAAAGCCTGTATAAATTTTAGACCCAATAAGGAAAGTATGGTCTCAAAATGGTTGCCGCGATATATGGAAAATCCCTTCCAAAAGAATGCAAAAAAAGGAGCTGAATCTGTAAGCGTTGTTGATCATACTGCTTGCTTGCAATATGTAAGAAAAAGTAATCCCTAACAGTTTTTTTGTGCAGTCATAAGTAATTTAAAAGTGAGGAAATTGCAAATGTGAGTCATTTCACCAAACAGCGCTGGTATTCATTGTACTGTGACCTGAGTAATGTGTTCATTACACACAGTTAGTTTCTGAAGACATTCCTGAAAAATAATGCCATAATTTAAACGGATGTGAAAGGAAAATAGAGCAAACGTCGTCATTCTGAAAATGACCTCGGTTGTCAATGAATTGCAACAAATGAATGCGGACCATTTCATTGTGTTAGGAAAGAAATGTTCAAAGAAGATTGTTTGTTCAAAGGAAAGAAATGTTCAAAGAAGTCCAGTAAAACATTATTTTAGGTTACAAAAACGTGGCTAGAGAATGAAGCGAGGCAGCTTTTGAAGAAAATAATGAACAGATCTCTGAGTAACGATGATTTGCATGGAGGTGCGTACACCGGTGGAGCCGGTATTGCTTATGCTATGTTAAGAGCTTCTTCGTCATCCTTTACCCACGATCGAAAAGAGTCTACGAAATATGGAAAGCGTATACTTATGCTACATTTGGAAGCTGTTAGAAAAGTTCATTTTAAATGTTTATTGTAAAAAACGGTCACTTAGCATACGCTCGGATACTACCAATTGATCTTATGAATGCAGTAGATGGTTCTAGAGGTTGAAAATGGAAACGTATGACTTTCATGCTTAGTAATAGAGACTGAAAATGATCTGAATGAGTAAGGATAAGTAACTCCGAAATGTCATATGAAGCTAGTCAATCTATCTACTGTGTTTTTAACCGCCATTTACTTCAGTGTAGCTTTTAACCCTAACTTGTGACTTCAGTATATTAAAGGAATTGTTGGATACCCGCTTTGTTGTGATTTTCTAATGGTGATTCTTGAAGGCTTTCTGCAACTTCTAACTCTGGTTGCAGAAAGAATCAAACCGAGAAACATGTTATTTGTTGGGGTCATTAAGTATTTACGTTGTGTGTATACTTTACGAAAAAACAAACGAAGGAAGCAAACGGATGATTGACCATATTACTGAAATTGGTCATCATATAGCGTGTGGTGATGTACTTGGTGATGGAGATGACGAGCTGCTTGCTGGACGTGTCGGTTTCTTGGCCGCTGTAATGACTCTTAGGTTTTAATATTTTTCTGCTTAGCAGTTATCCTATACTTTTTAATCCCCTGGTTTAAAATTGCTTATTTTTATT